TATAAAAGAAGTATATCCACTGTAAATCTTTAGTTTCTTCTAATATATTTTTACTTTATACTAACTGTCTTCTGATTGGCTCATATTCTCAAGGTCATTTAAGATTCGTTCAAAGGTCGTCCCTAAATTAGAGTCTCGCCCCTCTGACTTCATTTCACTTTAACAAGAGATATTATCAATTTAATCTAATTTATTATACCTCTGTCTGTTCTACTACGTAATGTTAAGCAACGTTTGGAGTCCATATCCAAGCGTCTTGCTGCTCTGCTGTTTCTCTTTTTTATTTTCTTCAGAATCTCGCTCCGAGGGCACAGCTATAGAACTTCTAACGTCTGGAACAAACTTGACGTATGCGTCAACTCAAGGCCACGGTTTATAACAAGCGCTCTACGAAACTACTTTATAACAACTATAAACTTAATAAGTTAGGAAGCATGCTATGCTCCAACAAATGTTGTAATTTGTAGATCATGCCTGTAAAAATGGCGTGTACCTGCTCATGCAGAAATATATTATTATTATTCTCAGATAACAGTATGTTACATCTGGTATGTCAGTTTACAGGCAAAATCAAGTTGTTACACATGCTACAGGTTTTACTCTATTTAGTTACTTAATTATGTTGATATGTTATAGCGCACACGGGCAATCTAAACAGGGGATAAATTTTCATACATTAGAATATTAGTGTTAGTATGACTCTTATGTCCAATATCAGATCTGGTGCACTTTGCGGGAGTTGCGTTGCAATGAGCACTTGATGATCAAGAATGGGTAGCAATAATGTCCGGGACAGTCGATCAATGACGTCAACTTGAAAGCATTAGTTTTTGCTCACCGATAGTGATCCCAGATAAATCCCGGAAGTATTATTGATGGCACAGGACAAAGTCGTATGTTCCACAAATTTTTTCGGTGGTATACCACGAGGGTGTTAAAAAAAGCGAGGAAAATGGAAATGCGAAGAGCAGGATGGACAGCGTTCGTGATTAGTGACGTTTTCTCATTTGTGATGGATCAATAAGGGTACGACTACTACGGCCCAGAAGCTAGCAATCCCTGGTATATCTTCGCTTCTCAATAACAGGGAAACAGGAATCCGTGGCGGAGCAGCCCTATGCCCACAATCTTGTTTGGTAGCTCATTAAGTGTGCACTCAATCTTGATGAATTTGTATGGTGCTCAATAAGATCGCCTAACACCTTGAGGTGTCTATTTCGAGCAATCTACAGGAAGCTCATTGCTGACATAGAGTACTGCAATCGTATGCTGTAGGGATTATACAGCTCTGTTTGTCTCAGAATTATTCATCTGCTGATTTTAGGTGTCTTCAATATTCCGAAACTTAACTTTGCTGAATGTACGAACATTTAGGGGGACAACTCTACTAAAGCTCGGTTCTCCAACATCATCGAAGATCTGGGATTATTCATAAACTTGGAGATGACGACTCGGTGAAGAAGTAGTTTGACGCCATCACGTCTAGACTACATATTTACAAACGAAGAGTTCCTCAATGACAACCTCTCCAACGTAACTTCCCTGGATAAAACTGATCATCCCGCCATAGCCTACGATTTTACTAGCAAAAGTAAATTATAACATCCTACTAACAGTAGGCTTTAAAATTAAAAACGGTTTCATGAGTCAGATTTACTGGTCAATCTGCAGCAGTTGAACTAAGAAGCCTCCTTCAACTGGGTGTGGACACTCATTGGGGTTACTTACTCCACATTATCATATGTATCACAGCCTGTCCGATCAGCGGTCATGTAAAGTAAGAAGTAACGTACAGTCATTTGTAATCACACTCTTCGACAGCTAGGATACAAAAGGCACTACTAGGCGGAAAATAAACGAACTAGTGACAACAACACATATGGGCAGTTCAAACAATCAATCTGCCAATGCACAATAATGATAACGAAAAGCAAGCTTCGGTATCAGATAAATCGAATCGATAAAGTTGTCTCTAATCAGAAAAGGTCCTTACGTCATACCTCCCCTCTTCGACAAGCCAAAGCCGGGGTGTCCCAATTCTTAGGTTTTATTGGTCCGACCAACAACAGCGGTGACGTCGCCAGCCTTCTGTCAAAACAATACACTCAAACATTTTAACCGTTCCATACTAACTATCGACGAGAGCTTCATTTACAACTCGAAAGGACTCTCAGATCTCACATGCTAAGCCGAGACACGGTATCAGAAAATCGGAGGCTTGACCACATTATACCAATTTTCAAAAGAGGTCGACTCGGCAAACCTTCAAGCTACCAATCATTAGCATTTCTCTCAGTGCCCTCAAAAATTATTATGTCCCTGATATGCGACGGTCTAAGTGACTAATTACTCTCCATAAACTTCATTTCACTTTAATAGCACGGTTTTAGGAAGAGTCAATGCAGTATAAACAACCCGCTGACTATGTTGGACAGATGAATAAACATACCAGGTTGCAAGGGAAAGATTGATATCACATACCTCGGCTTCGCAAATGCTTTCGGTAAGGCCAGTCGTATATGTCTCATCGATAAGCTAAACTATTAGATATCACATCACCATTGATTGACTAGCTCACTTCACATTCAAATAATCGACTTTTTAAGATTAGAGTAAGCTTCACATTTTTAGGCTACAGAATGTCCTAGTGGGGTCCCTCAGGGTTCAGTCCTAGGATCCCTTCTTTTCTTAATTCATACAAACGATCTTGAACGAACACCAAAAAAGTACCTTCAACGCCTCAAAGTGTAGAGTAGTCCATCTGAAACATTTTTCAGATTTCATATGAAACTTAGGTGACTCTTCTTTAAATGCATCCCAAATTGTAAAAGATCTGGGAGTGTTGGTATCCTATTATCTGAAGTTTTACTATGGCCGAAAGAGAAATCCCTTTCGAACAAACCTTTCACTATTAACGTTAAAGCACGTTTATTGTTAGTTCGACGGTAGGAATTTCCACTTAATCTTCAACAGTTTTATTCGACCGCATTTACAGTGTGGATATATAGTGTTTCCTTCCGCATTCCAAAAGGATAAGAATACATTAGAATGTATCAAACGGTGAGCTACAAAATCAGCTCAGGAACTCAAATTCAGGCCTTATGAAAAGTATCTTAAATCACTTAACATTTATACACCAATGTGCAGATATCTCAGGGGTGACCTTCTATTGGCTTACAGCATCCTGGGCATTCCCTTAAGTACCTGTTTAGGCTAGGTCCCAATTTAAACCTTGGGGATGACACCCAGAAAGTGGAAACATAACACAGAAGAATGGACTGTAGTCACACCTACTACTCCCTAAGAGTAGTCAAATGGTGGAATTCACTGCCAGATGAATTAGCTCAAGAGACTTCCTGGGAGTCCTTTATGAGAAAAGGTGACATATATTCGTAGACATTATGGACGGTATCTCACAATAATTTACGAAAATTTTTCCCCTTTATTGTCAAATATGCCTACGTTCCTACCTGGTGGCATCGGTGGTTCACCGTGACTAGATATAGGAGCCCATCAAGCGAATGCCTGAAGCTTCATCTGTTAACTCCTTCAAGAGAAAGTAGGATCAACTGAGAGAGAACTGTTGCTAGGACTAACACATGCCACCTGGCCCGCTGTTCTTTCCAACTGAAACTCATAATACTGAGTACTGACAAAATATATGCTGAAGATAGATACTAAAAGGAACTCAAAGCTTTACTTGTGCCATGCGTATTGGCTGGTAGCCTGATTAATAACTGGATTTTTCTACCATACTTTAGGACAGAACATTTCGTTTGTTCTAAGCAGTTGTCATACGTTATCAGAATTCGTCGCACTTCGCGCACCCTTTGATTAATAGGTTTGTAAAAGTATTAAAAATCATTACATGTGACTTTACTAATGCGAGTTTGTTTTCCTCATTGCAAGGCAACAGAAAGTAAACATACTAGAAGTAGAGAAATAAGCCTTGCGCAAACTAAGCCTGCAGGACAATGAGTAAACCCATTTTGTAAGAAACTTCCCCTTTTTGTACTCGAACCGCGTAGTTCAATTTTTAAAATATATCTCTGTTGTGTCAGTACGCTGTGTTCTTACTTCAGTGGCATTTACCGGTCCTGACTTTTGTGTTGTGTTTCAAATAGCTCCTTCTAGCCAGTAAATGGTGATAGTACGTGCTACAGGCTTTTATTCCTGCTTCTGGAGCCTACCGTATGTCCCAGTCGTTAACCTCGATGATGGATTGATGTTTAGTTGTACAATCACTTATAAAAATACGTTCCTTACCATTTCCAGCCAATAATTAGATGTGTTCAAAAGCGACTGTGACCCATTCTCCCAATTTTCGGGAAGCCACAATAGGGAATTTTGGGTAAGTTGTACAAACTCCCGAAATTCCCCTACGCCTGGGGAAATTTCACCAAATTGAGAGTTTTCCGCAAAATCAGGAGATAAACGAGTTCAAACCCAAGGTCAAAGATGGGATAAGGCCCAGATCATATATATACTTGCATACACGTCATGACTTTGTTTTGCAAGTCAGACTTGATTGGATCATAATTATTCTGTTATAATTGTGGCAAGACGATAATAATGAACAGGAATTGTTAGAGACCTAGTTAAGTTTAACTTTTTCATGTTGGCTAGGCTTGACTTCAGAAGTAACCAATTAAGTCCAATCCTATATATTTGACTAGATCAAATTTTCTGGAAACTTGGGGTGTCCAAGCCACAGTATGCCTAGCGAAATTTAAATATTTAACTGTATTATTGGCATTTGGTGTAGGTGTATTTAACTTACTATTCCTTACTGATATTTTGACAAGAGTTTTATGAACATCAGCTTCGTTTTTGTTTATGTGAACTTTTGTCTTATCAGTAGCTTAGGTCAGCAGTAGTTTTGTTACCGTTCTCTCTATTCTCGAACCATCCTTTATTAATGTATGTGTGATTTAATGGGAAATGAATCGAATTTAAGATACCTTTCTTTGTTTTCTTTTATAGTTTATATCTATATCTTGATGGTTTTATCAGGATTTTCTCGGACCTTCTCAAATATCAGTTCTGGAGATGGAAGCCTCAGTAGATCTCTTCAGGATAATAATCAAAACTCTACCATGAACAGAGCTTTTGGAATTTCAAGAGGTAAACCTAAGTAAGTATCATGCTGTTCAATTACTTCGCAGTTCTAAAACTCCAACGAGAACTCCGTCTCGCAATGGCCTAGTCTCAGATGACTCAAGTAACTCCTTCAAAAGGACACCTAACTCTTCCATTAAAAAAATACCAACGGTACACGAATGTGATGGTGACAGGTGACAAAGATCTTTTGATCTTACTCTGTAATAGATTTATTCCCAACAGGTCATCAACAAACATGTGTAGGGCGCGGCATGTAATTCGGAAATGCAACGAAGATCCACCAAATGAAGAGGCTGCTGATTATCAACAAGCCGTAGCAGATAGTTTAAATACTAATGACTGTCCTGGAAGTCGGATCCTCCGCTATAATGCTGCCATTCGAGATAGTGGTAATGTACACTGCCCCACAAATAGCTCAGTATCCGCTGTAAAGGGACTCTATAAGCGCGCTATACCTCAGGTAAGAACCTAAACATTCAGACTTTTACTGAAGTCCATCACCACAGATACAAGCGTTTGGTTAGTTTAATGAATAACGGGATCGGTACTATATTTCGGTTACTTTTATTTACACGACTAGCAACATTTTTTCTATGACTGGTTTGCAATTTGGTTTGTGATGCACTTTTTGATTTAGGAAAAAGGGTTATGATAGGTAGGTTTCGATGCATCTCTATCTTTAATATTATGGACTCAGTGGTGAGGACGTTTTAGCTTTGTCTTCAACATTCATTTGTTTCATCGTTTTTTACTGTACAGACTTTTAGCACTATAACTACAGGCTTCCGTAGGTATGATCTTTAGCTCCAACGAGCTATTACGTTTAATGGTATAGAAATAACTTCTACCCATAAGAAGACCTACAGGTGTTTGTACCCTCCGTCAAATCAAGTCAAAGCGTCTCTACACTAGATAACCTTGCAATCCATTCGGAACATTAACGAATGTTCACTTTCATTTTTAATTCAGTGCCTGAAACGGGATTTCATGAACTGAGTTAGTGTAAAAATTTATATTTATATACTTGATAAGAATATAGGTCTATTGGATGCAGAGGATCACCTGGGAAAGTTAGAAAACCCTGGTTGCAAATAAATGACGCAGTTGGCTCACGATCATAAAGCATGGTTTACGAGTCTATTTTAGTTACTGGCTACCACAGGACTGCGTCTCAACATTGCCTTATCTGTTTGTGGACTAGACCTCTAGGTCATTGTACCGATAAGTGGTTTCCCAAGAAGACCAAATATCCGGGTTTGGGCGCCCGCATAGTAGCCTAGCCCACACAAAAATATGTTAAGATAGTGTTTTGGAAGAACTATTCTGTTCTCCGCTGTATCACTCACTCAAACAATACAGCAACCTCATAAAGAATGAAACTTTTACTGTCTCCAATCCCCATTATTCTCATTGCGTACCTTTACCTTTCAAACCAATTAGCGACTCGTTTCTGGTAATTGTTCTGTTTTGTCCAAACTGTCTCAAGTTGCTGAATAATCTAATTTATGAGTGCTTCCGCGGAATCCGGTTTTGCTAACACGTGTTGCACCAAGTGCCAGGACAAATGCAGCACTAATTAATTGAATCCTTATTAACAGGTCAAGTGCCCTTTGACTCAAAAGTCACATCAGTGGTAAACGAAACCTCATAATCTCCACCTGTGCGCGGGCATTACAACAGAAACACATCCAGGAATGAGGTTTGCTATCAAGTAAATGGTCTTCTCAATCAAGTATATTCAAAAAAATATTTAATGCTAGCCGGAGATTTAAATGCACAGGTCGTGACTTTAGGTACAAATGAGAGCATATAACCGTCGATAACACTTTAGAAGTAGCTCTAATGATTATTATTTATATGAACATTGGTAAAAGGAGGCACTAAATAGATACACGACACAAATTCGATTTGTGTGAGGGCTGGGATACTACCGGGTGCCGAAACCAAAGCAGGTGGTTTTCTTAAGTCACACACTGAGCCTTCGACCTAAAGGTCTGATCCACTAGCAGGAGATGCAGTCTTATGGTAGTCAGTGGTAAACAATAGGTTCGTACGTCATTTGTTTTCTTGGGGTCCTGAAGCCCATGTGCACCACTGGTTTGGAACCAGGGTTTCCCAAATCCCCTTCGTGGATCCTCCATATCCACCAATTCGGTTAAAGCGCCGAACATTCGTTTTCCATCGTCTCAATTTTGTGAACAACACCCCCTCCGCGAGAAGGCAGTAAGTATGACTTCCTTGGCAGTGGCTGTATACGCATGGCCATGTGAGAGCGTTTTGAGAGAGTGCTGAATCTCCCCACTCTCTGCCATACCAAGGCATTTGGGGGCAGTACTTTTCGACCTTAAGTCTGTGAAAGATGTCTTATATTGTGACAGTGCACAAGCTATCCAAATCCCACTTAACAACTTGGCAGTGTCCGTAGATCTTGCACGTACCTTTTACTTCCTAAATTAAAAGGGCTTCTGAAAATTACGAGAAGGTTGTGTTGATACTTACTCCTTGTAATGAGTCATTAAAAGAAGCTGAAGAGTTCGTGTTTCTCTGTAGTTGTCTGAGTGCTGGTGGTGACGCGAGTGATGAAATCAACCCACGTGTAGTTAAATCTAAAGTGGCTCATACCAATCTGAGTCATTTTTGACAATGTTGATCTGGTTTTTAATGCGTCCATAATAGCAGTTTTGTTCTGTGTTTACAAACCCTGGTGTCCTAGTTGGGGATTTTAAATGACTGTGTTTGGTCATTGTTGTCGCCGAAGGTTAGATGATATCCAGTCTCAACACCATGTTAGTAATGCGAGAGTTCGGTTCAGATAGCAACAATGATTTATATGGTGTCACGATCTTGAAACACTGCCTACCCTGGTTGGGATGTGTTATGAATTTCATCCCAACGGTTTCAATATCGTGCATTAATCGCAGATGCTGGTTATGAAGTGGCGTCTTTGGACGAAGGAAATCTGTATGAGACCGACATCTTTTTTGTCCATCATGGTTCCCTGGTTTGAGTACCTAGAGATCGTACAATCTAGTGGCTTGAGATGTCAGCTACAGCTCAGAATAGAAACCAGCGACGGTACTGCTGTGATTCCCCTTGACATTCGTCATAAAATTATAGGTGAAACTCTCCTAACTGTAAGTTTGTTTCTTTTTGTAATTTCAAGTGAAGTGTTCCTCTTACTATACACTACTCTCGTTTGCCTATTTCTATTAATTTCATATATCTCTTTACACTTTCACTATCATATTTGCGTGGCACATTTATTCTGGTGCGCGGTTGTAACAATTTTCATGTTTATTAAATAACAAAACCGAAGCATGCAATATTAACTATGATGTTACATTTACTGGCGTTACTAGTAATTTTCCTTCACCTTTACGTTTTCATTTATTTACTTATAAATTTTTCAAGTAGCTCTACAACTCTGTTTGGTAGTTATTGCCCAAATTTTGAATTTCATCCTTTAGATGCCAGAGAAAGTTCTCGATGCTCCAGACATTATTGATGATTTTTATCTAAATATTTTGGACTGGTCTATGGACAATATTTTGGCTGTCGCGTTAAATCAAGAAGTTTATCTTTGGAACTCATCTTCAGGAGATATCACTTGTCTTATGTCCTGTGGTTTTGACGATGAATATGTTTCGAGTTTGAAGTGGTCTCCTGATTCTCCCAATATTATTGCCATTGGTCTTAGCGCTGGTCGTGTTCAACTTTGGGATGTTTCCAGTCAGTCACTAGTACGTACGATGCGACTTGGAGGTGTCAGTTCTGCCGGTCGCGTACCAGCCGTCACTTGGCGTGAATATCTAGTTTCTAGTGCGTCTAAATCAGGACATATTAGACATCACGATACGCGGATCGCTCATCATGAAGTCGGAGTTGGTGATTTTCATACCCAGGTAGGTTTCAACTAACAATCTTACCATGTGTTCTGTTATGCGTACGTGTAGCCATTTATGCGAACCTGGTTATTGATTTCTACCTACCTGAATATTTGTATTTAATTGTCCTAGGGATCTTTCGCTCTTGGGTCTTAGACGTTTTATATCATCCAGTTTGTGACATGTTATTTATTATATATGTTCAGGAGTGCCCCTAAATTATTCCTGATGCTTAGTCTTAATAATTTTTCATGACACAGAAAATCTTGGCATTTTATGATTTTGTCTCATGTTCCGGTCTTATTCTACAACTTTATAATCTTCGTTTTAGTGCTCAGGAGTATTGAAACCTATATCAATTAACTACTTTGTAAAGTTCCATTTAAATAAAGTCAATCCATTTCGTAACGTTTATTTTTATGGTTGTCTCAGAATAATTTTCTACTTACGTAGGGCAGAGATGTTATCGTTATCTAAATTCTGATTCTGTTTATTTCCCTGAAGACCGAACCAGATTACTGATTGCAAAGCTAGGACTATTTTAGCTTCAGTTACAGAGATCATTATACACATTTTCTACTGTGCCAAATAGGACAGCAGGTTTCCTTAGCTAGGACTTTAGAATCCCGCTCCATCGGTGTGTGCTTCGTCTCCGAAACCCGCACACAGGATCCGGGTAGTGTCACTCATTTGACCTCACCATGTCAAAGTAACGAACCAACTCGATTTACGCTTCGTGTATCTGGAAGCCCTGATGCTGCTTCCGTGGCCTCGCTGGCGTAGGTATAGCATTGAGTTCTAGGGCAGAACTAGCTCTCTTAGACTGGATCCCAGTAGACAGTCGTTTATGCGCTGTCCGACTAAACGGAACAGTAAGGACTCGGAAAGATAGGGACACTCGTCGTTGCCTCTTCGTCGTCTCTGCCTACTCTCCCACACTGCAGCTCAGATAATGTAAAAGATGAGTTTTACAGAAAGCTTTCTGACCTCCGAAAAGCTAGGCGCTCTGATGTAGTAATAGTTGCTGGTGACTTTAATGCTCAAGTAGGTAAACTAAGCGAAAGGGAAAGATACCTGGGTGGATCTCATGTAGTCGCGGCTCAAAGAACAGATAACGGCAACTGTCCAGACTTGTTAAGGAAACCGGTATTAGGAACCCAATTGTTGGCGAAATTATATCGGGAAAAAATGGACATATTCATTCTCAATCCAGGAGATTGGATCGATGGGCAGGACACTTTGGGGATCAGTTCAACTGGCCTTCAGCCACACTTCGGTTTCCCACGATCTCCAATCTACCTGAATGGCAAGTTAATGTAAGTCCTCCGACTCTTTACGAAGTTGAAAAAGCTATAGGAAATCTGAAGCGTGGGAGAGCAGCAGGCCCTGACAGGTTTATCCCTGAGATTTTTAAGGATGGTGGTCCAGTATTAGCAGCGAGATTGACTGAGGTCTTAGGTAGAATCTGGGAACTGGACGTAATTCCATCTGACTGGTCTCAATCACTGATTGTGGCAGTCTATAAGAAAGGACAAAAGTCTTGTGACAATCACAGAGGTATTAGTTTAACTAATATAGTGTTTAACTTTGTTGTTGACGTCCTTTTAGAGATGACATTTTCCCCATCTAAATTTCTAGGAGTTGAACTTCTACCGGGAGATCCACTTGTTGACTTAGAATATGCCGATGACATAGTTCTCTGTCTTCCTTAAATTAAGAGATTAAAATCGCTTCATATCTGTCTAGGAACTAATTCTTTCTTCCTTTACTATCTCCTTATACACAATCTTTCTTCTATATATTACCACCACTGAATTAACTACTCCTATGAATCCGGTGTTCATCTTGTTGTGCTAATGCGGTATGGCAACTTGGACCGATGCATATACGTGCCTGGTCCTACGTTGCAGCTGACTGACTGACTCTAAGCAACAATGCAGGCATGTTCGCCATGCGATTTTCTCCCTCGAAATGCAAAATGTTGCTTCAAGATTGGGTTGCATCGACACCCGAACTAGTGATAGGGAGTGAAGTAGTTGAGCGTGTCGACCGCTTCACTTATCTGGGAAGTCTCACCAGCTCTTGTGGTTTGGTGTGTGACGAAATCTCAGTACGGATACAGAAGGCTCGACTAGCTTTTGCCAACTTGCGTCATTTGTGGCGTAGGCGAGATATTCGTCTATCAACCAAAGGACATGTTTACTGCGCAGCAGTTCGTTCCGTCCTACTCTACAGCAGTGAAACATGGACAGTAAGAGTAGAGGATATTCGTAGGTTACTAGTATTCAATCAAAAGTGTCTACGAAGCATTGCTCGTATATCCTGGGACCACCGAGTAAGTAATGCAGTTGTTATGAAACGGGTACTAGGTAAGGATGGCAAATCAATTGAGGAAGTAGTGAAACTTAATCAGTTGAGATGGCTGGGACACATGTTACGTATGCCAAACCACCGACTGCCACGACGTGCGATGTTTTATGGTGTGGGTGTAGGTTGGAAGGAAGCTAGAGGCGACCAGACCAAAACATGGCAGAAATCCATGAAGTCACTGACAAGTGGACTGAGCCATGTCGGTAGGTATAGACTAATCGTTTGGGGACTGCGAGATGATAGCAACCGATGGTTAGAGATCTTGAATGACACTGCCCAAAATCGTTTGTAAGGACGCAGGTGCATCCACTCTCTGTGTTCTCTCAAACTCTAATCTTCTGAATTCTCCATGTCCTTTATTTTCTTTCCAAATCTATTTCACTGGATTATACTCCTTAAATAACATCATCCAACCCTAATGTTCCCTATCACTACTTATACTTTCACTACCTCTACCACTATGGGATTTGAACCGATAACTGAATCTCTGTGCTAATGTGGTATGGCAACTCGAACTGATGTACGTACGTACGAAGTTTCACGTTGTTACCGACTGAGTGACTGATTTTCCACTTGTCTTTAATTTATTCGACATTCACTTTTGTGGTATTGTGCCCGCAAATTCTTTCCAAAATTCATGTTAACATGACAAATCGTTTGTCCTAGTATGGCCGAGGGTAGGGAGAGTTAACTCTTCCTCTCCAAATGCTCTCACATGGCCATGCGTATACAGCCACTGCCAGGGAAGTCATACTCACTGCCTTCTCGCAGCGGAGGTGCTGTTTACGAAATTGAGACGATGGAAAGCGAATGTCTGGCGCTTTAAGCGGATTGGTGGATATGGAGGATACACGTAGGAGAGTTGGGGAACCATGATTCCAAACTAGTGGTGCACATGGGCTCCAGTATCCTGGAGGAACAAACGGCGTATGAACCAATTATTGGTCACCTGCTACCATGGAACTGTATCTCCTGAAATTGCTCCACTGCCTTGTGAGTCAGACCTTTAAGTCGAAGGTTCCGGGCGTGACTCCCAAAGGAAACCACCTGTTTCGGTCTGGGTACCCGGGCAGTATCACAGCCCACGCACAAATCAAGTGACTTGTGTGGTCCATATATATTCGGCGCTCCTTTGCACCAATATTTATCTGTTCAAATAAATAATAAAAAGAACTTCGTACTTCGTAAAAATATTAGTAGATATCCATCGGATATCAGTTATGTGATATTTCGGTTACAAATATTATTGTCTTATAAACAAGTTTACTACTGTAGAACCGCATCAGAATGTTATATACTTGGTGCACAGGTTCGAGAATGCCATTGGACACTATGATGTACTTCAAGTAGAGGATTTTGTGTAAGTGTTAGATGGTTGGAGATAATTCATAGGAAATCCTCGACCTATGTTTCGTACTATTTAGGACTCGTCAGCAAGCTATAACCGTAATCTTGCGAAGACTGATATCCCCTTGTGGATTCGAACTCGTGGCCTGATAAGTTATCACTAAGCTGTTTTGACTGAACTGTGGGACTGGGATATTCACCATTGTTTAGTCACCGTTTAGAGACCACTGCCATATTTGTCTAGTCCTTTAGTGTTAATCAAATTCTACCGATCAAGTTACACTGTGACCACCAGTCTAAGTGACTTGGCATCGCGTGCACTAAATGCAGATGTTAGCTGGAGGTAGTAGATAGGAGACCTTAAACATATGTCTTGTGTTATTTGGCACTCATCAATGTCCTGTCGACTACTTCCACTTCACATACTGATTTAGTGCACGCGATTTCGAGTCACTTAGGTGGGTGATTACATTGTAACTTGATAGATAGAATTCGATCAACACTAAAGGACTTGACAAACAACATTTGTCTCGAAACGGTGACCAATCAACTGTAATATTCCAGTGTTTTAGGACTGTATGCTTGTGTTTTTACCATGTTTAAGTTAGTATTATTTAAGTCAAACTGCAATATATATATATATATATGTATATTAAAACTACAGTTAATCAACAGAAGGATAGAAAATTGAAAGAAGAAACAATGGAAAAAATAGTTTAATAAGTGATTTGTAACTCAAATGTTCACTGTTATGTTGACCAGGGTAAAGGGGGTGGTTTTACCAATTTCTTACAGACAAATATATTAGGTTTATTGATATGGTTATAACAAAAACCATTGGATTTATTTGATACGTTCGTACACTACTCAAATAATTGGCTACTATGACTGTACTACTTTGAACAAAATTACGTCTATCCTCTTCTTTTTTTGCTTCCTCATTAACTAGGGTAAAAACACTAGTTTTGTAGATGAAGTTTTTTTATGTTGATCAAAATGTATTAAGTTCGTCGATTGCGTATCAAATAAAAATGATTAGAATGTTCAAATTAAGTATTTGTCATTAATACAAATCATCATGAAAATGTATTGAAATTTCATGAGTAGTGCTCACACTGAATAATTAACTATAGCAGGATTTCAATGTTATCAGAAATTGCACATCTCCAACATTGTCAAACCTTTTTTTATTTTTTCCGATTGTTTTTTGCTTAATATCTTCTCTCCTTTTACTGTCTAATTGTAGTATTCTTTTTATGATTGAGCACCTGTTATGAATATTAAACTGCTTGTCAAACATTTTAACAATTCTATTATTATCAATCCTTAAACCACATAGTCTAATTCATTCATTTTAATATGTATATTATTATTATTATTATTATTATTATTATTAGTATTAGTATTATTATTAGTATTATTCAACATTTTATTTTTGGTACAATATAGAATTTTGAGCACAACGTATTTCAACAACTTTCCCTTTCTTATTTCTTGATCAGTTCCGTGCGATAAATATTGAGTGGTCGCCAGTTAGATGTTAGCGGTTCAAGAATCGACATCTGATAAATGTATATCCTTTTTGATGCGTATTGCCAGTAACCATGATGTCTCTGATTGAGTTCTTTTAAAACATGTACAGCGAAATGCAGTAAACTTTTCACAAACGCACCTGACTAGGTTATGAGACTAATATGCATAATGATGTGTTAAAACAAACAAGAAAAAAACAGATAACTTGTTAAAATATCCAGATGGCAGGAACAGGTAGCCCAGAGATTCAAACAGGCCACCTGATCTTATCCACCTTATCTTCTAATTGTTTTATTAATCATTCACGTTTATGTTCATAAACGTGAATTTGCCTGCCATATTTTGGAAGTAGTATTAAACAAGAGTTGGTAACAGTCTGCTTTAGTAATCCCTTGTTTTTGAATTTCGTTGCTACTAGTACTAAAATTATTCATCAGGAATTTCCCTCTTTTTTGTGATTGTTTCGTTGACACTAACTAGTCTATATTATCTTATTTAGCAAGTGCAATTTTCCACGTTAACATATGAAATAGACGATTTTTGATGATAATGTTGATAAACTATTCGATATAATCTAATATGACTGAATTGGTTTGAACGGATGATTTCATCCCTGAAATCCCTGTTTAATAGTTATCAAAAGATAAGCTTACCAACCGACTGACTGACTGTATAAATATGTATTAGTAAATCAAAGCTATGACTTATATACAAAATATTTGAGCCAAACTAGTGTAACCATAAATTATTTGTCAGATGGTAAATGATTGACAATCAGTGGTTGTTATAAAATCCGAAAAGCAACTAATCGCTTATTTTTGCCTGTTTTAACAAGCTATCACCTAGTGACCTGTTCTTCTAATTTTGCTTCACTAGATCTCCGATTGATATACGTTCATCTTGTTTCCATCCTTTTATGCTTATTTTCTAGGAAGTTTGTGGATTGAGTTGGTCACCAGATAAACGTTTCCTTGCATCAGGAGCAAATGAAAACTTTGTTTGTATTTGGCCTTTTAGTGATATCTCAAAGCCTGAACATGTTCTAAGAGATCACCAGGCTGCCGTTAAGGCATTATCATGGTGCCCTTGGAAACCAAATCTTTTATGCACAGGTGGGGGAACATCAGATCATACTCTACGCTTTTGGAATGCAACAACTGGAGCTTGTGTTAAATCAGTTGATGTAGTGGCCCAGGTAAGCTTAGGTTCATCCATTAACTGAGAAACTTTCCTGAAATAGTTTTGTTTCTGAAAGCAAGGAAGCCAGTATCCACGAGCTTTATAGCTGCTTTGTTACTACGCTTGTCGAAGACGTTAATGGATGATAGCTTTTCGTCATCCTGCATCCAAACTCGATAAAAGTCAAAATACACATACAAAGCTAGAAATTATGTAAGGTAGCATTTCGCTCAAATTGAAACAAATATCCAATAGTTCTCACTAAATTTAATGTGGTTCCTAATAATCGTGCTAAATATTTAAACAAGTACTTAGAAAAAGTGGAACTAGTTAGTAAAATCGGGTGAATAAAACACTCAATCAGTAGATCGTATGTTCAGCTTGCACTTCACTTGACTTAAAGATGAGTTCATGAACTCATTATTCGGCAAATTAACTGTTACGTAGCCGCATACAGAAAAGTATGCTTCATAATGTTTTAGTTATTTTCCATGTAGATCAAAAGTAAACTGTAGAAGAAACAATCTATTTACAATACAGAAACGTTGGTGTATTCATCACAGGGATTAACGCCCTGCATCAGTTTGGATAGCCAATTAATATTCTTAGATTTTACACTTAAAAACGTCCCGCTTAAAGTTATGTACAGCAACATGTACTTGGTAAATAAGTTACATTCACTGCCTAACACAAGTTTTGTCGAATTCGGCAAATTCCGAACATCTTTTCAGTCGAACAACAGTCGTTACTACTCTGTAATTTACGAACGCAATAGCCGCATTTGGAATATTGTAACCTAAAAGTGTTTACATGGTTGCTGAAGTACTTCACCGAAAATACCTGTTTAAAGATAAATTTTCCAACATTAGTAACTAAACCAGTGGCTTAATGGGGATATATCTTCTCACTCGGTAAGTTTTGGGATAGACTCTTACACTGACTACTTCAATTCGGTCTACCTATTATTGTCACTGATTCAAAGCCATGTTATACAAACCTGTACTTGATGAGTTACGTTTTCGGCAGCAAAGTAATTGGGTTATCTGGTTCAAATCGACGTATATTTATTGTCAAAGTATCATATTTGGTAGAAACAGCTTAAACCAGCAAATGATACTATGTTTGTCCGTTATTTATCATAATCTTTTTTGTATTTTTATTCTAAATAATAGTGAATAGAAACGTCCAAACTAAAGTGGGGCGTACTAGTTACACAATAATTAGGGTGTTAAATCTTCTGTACTAAGAAGAAAGTGTATATTGTAGAAATAATATGTTTTCAATACTATGTTTTACAGTTTTTATCTTTCACACCACATCAATACGTTGACAATTTTCATCGAATTTGATCTCATTAATTGTTTTAATCGTTTCTATTACACACACTGACATGTATCATATTACCATGTTTTTTAAGACAATGGTGGATAATTAGTTACTTTTTAAACTACTTTATTTCCTTTATTGGTACTTGTCTATTTCTATTAGGTACTAAAAAACCCAGTATTTTGTTGTAAGCTTCATTTCTCACTGACAAATTTATGAAACAAGTAAAAATGTATGATAACTCATTTTTAAATCATTCATTTGATTTCTAGGTTTCTGGTATTATATGGAATACAGAATATCGTGAAATTTTAACTAGTCATGGGGATCCTCTTAAACAACTGGTTATATGGAAATATCCAGAAATCACCAAAATTACCCATTTAGGTAAGAAATTCTGGTAAAGGTTAAAAAAGCTAATGATTGTGTTGTAGTGGCTGTGCTTCGTTGACCAATCACCGTCGTAACCGTTATCGTATAATCCCTCAACGGTGTTTGAAATCAGAAGGCAAAGTGAAGCAGCTACTAAAGTTTTAGGAGTAGGTAACTCAAATCACAGGGCAGAGAGACGAATGAGTCAGCGAACCGTGAATGTGTAAAGTGTTAAATATATATATATATATATATATATATATATATATATATATATATATATATATATATATATATATATATATATATATATATATATATATATATATATAGAAAAGTGAATGGATTATCGAGTCGATTAAGCGAATAATAATAAGGTTAGCGGGATGAATATATGCATGGATAGTCAACAATGTTCAAGCATACTTATTCATACAAGCATAACAATAATGAAGGTACAATAAGTTGTTAAAGTACAGATGACTTTATCCGTTTAATAGGTTAACAAAAGGGCTTAACCGAATTAGATGACAGCAAATTCAATTGAACGTGAGTTGTTATAGGGTACAGATACAAAACTTAATATTGAATATGAACTTAAACACTACAATATGCGGATCCTATTATGTTTTGAGGTATTACCAGCGTTGATGTTCGTTCGTATTTGCTCCGGTTTAATACATTGCATCATATATATTTCTTACATAGTATATCACTCGTGTGTATGTATGTATGAAAAAAAATTTTCACTCCAAAAAAAATAAAAAAATGGCCGTGCATTTAATGTTAACCGTTGTCTTAGGTTTTTTAAGTGTACTGCCATGAGGACGAATAATATCCACCAAACCAATATTCATTAGTGTGTATCACTCCATGCAACACATCCGCTTTCACAAAACAAGAAAAGAAATCCAAGCACTAATGTTTTGAAAGTTACATCAGTTTGTTTAATATGCATGAAAGGTAAATAAGCAGTTCAAGTAGTTTTATTAGTACTTACATACTCTATTTAACTTACAATCGGAATTGTTGAGCTTTTTTTTCAATTAATTTTCTTACTGTTTAGTAACGGAAATGATAAAGCTCACATACCTGATATCACTCAACTGCATAATTCAACTGTCTATTAAGCTAATAAATCACTAACAACAGGTATTGTTGTAAATTAGTTTTATATTATGTGTATTTCCTGACATGTTTATGAAGTTGAAATGAACTAAAGGCATACCGTTCCACACTTGCGAATAACTATTAGTAGTAGGATTTTCTTTGACGTTTTGACTAAGTCAAATTTCCTGTCGTTAAATCTTAACATACCTACGTTTTATTTGTAATGCAAGCATTAAAAATACAGTTTTCATGATTTTTTAAAGCATATGGGTTTTTCCAAATGTGCAGTTATTTGTGTTATGTGTGTGATCATTAAAAAGTAATATACCTTCCTGTTCCAGAGCATCAAGGTCGTGTATTGTGTGTTGCATCGTCTCCAAATGAAGAAATGGTTGTTAGCTGTGCATCTGATGAAACTTTACGTATTTGGCATTGTTTTCAAGTTGATCAAAATAAGAAACGTATTCATGAAAAAATTCAACGACCTTCTGTTTATGCACGGGGTATACGGTAAAGTCATACTGTGGAGTTCATTTGTGATTGGTGATTATGTCCTGCGCATCTTTTCCACATATTTATGCAACGTTTTCACTGTATAATCTAACTCCTGTTGTAACTCCGTATGTCATTGCTTCAATTCATTAATTTAACTTATGAAAAGAATATTTTATATCATTATGTTTTTCTTTTTAAAAAAGAATGAAAAATATGTTCTCAATAAATGCGCCCATTGGTTTAAGTTTAAGTTCCGTTATTTCTTAAAGGTGACGAATTAACATAGTTTTGTGCATTTTCATAGAATTCTTCAGATATTGTCATAAATCTGATCCTCTCATTATTTATTAAAGGTAAATGCGTTGTGAGTAGTATTAGGCGCAGTCCTCTGAATAGTATGGACAAACGGTTAAATGTTTCTAGTAAAATAGATCACAATGGTACGTTCGGCCTAAACGTTTTATATTTTGTTGGTCGCCCACTCAGATCGAACATGTAACAGTTAAATATATTAGCTCAATCTTACTGGTTGATTCGCGTAATAAATCCTAACAAACCTTGGGCTGTTTGTCTTCTAATTTTATTCAACTGTCCTGTCGACTTATACATATCCGAAACACGTTGACTATTTGAAAGTGGACGATTTATTCATTTCAGTACAATGCGAGTTAGACCTACCTAGTGCAATTCTCTATCTATTTTATTTTTATGCGATTGCTGGGTATTGTACTCTTAGTGTTATCCTTAATCCGATGCAACTGCTGGTGATTGTAGTCCTGATGTCAATTTAGTTCCAATACAAGAATTACCAGGTCTAATTCTTGTATTCATCTACTAACACTACTCTGTCAAGTTGTTTCCATCCAGTCTTATTGGAATTCGGTATTCTTTATCGCTGCTGTATCTCAGTCAATTCAATTTAGACGTGTCTTCTGGAACTTTGCTATCCAATTGCTGATTCAACCCATTCTTCAGTGTTCAATTTAAAGATAACGAACATGATGTAATCCCCTATTTATTCCGAGCCAATGAGACGTCCTGATGTCTTTGTTACTGCAGCGAAAACGTCCTGGATATTCATAAATATCATTACTTCGAGAGGGCCCCTGTTCTCAATATATCAATATTATCGTTATTATTTTCCATAGCAATTTAATGATGTGACTAACTTACGTTTTTATTATGGCCACCAAGATTCGTTACGGGATCTAATATGCTAATTTTACTTCAGTATCGTAGTAGCTTCAAATACTTAAGATCAATTTAATGGCCTCGAAATACTGATCAAATGTTACTCATACTGTATTAAGTAATTGTAAGATTTGTTTATATTTGACAAGGCGGGGATGTTTAAGTGTGTAATACCACCAAGCAATAACTGATAGAAAGGTAACACACATTAATCGAAAGTTGTCATAAAGTACGGTAAGTCCTAGCGCAAGGCTGAAAAAAGTGGATGGAATGCTTTGCTCTGATCTAACAAAGTACGACCTGCATTAGTCAGTTATTTAGCATTAAAACTCATGTTGCTTATGGAGTTCTGTTGTGATGGACGGTGTTCAAATGTATGATACTGATGCATGATTTGCTACACGCCAACATACGAACTTGGGCAAAAAGTCAGGAAAGGTAGTGAAATCATGTTGGGCTACCGAATAAAATGTAGAAATACTCGTTTGTATATATATACAACTCTACCCCTTAGAAGATCAATCCATTTCTTAGTCGATGAAATGCACTTGTCCTATAGATCACTTCTGATTGACCTCATTTGGCCACTTCTAACTGGCTTATTATACCAACTTTGCCTCCTGAAACATATGTCCTGCCCCTTGGATTTAGCCGGAAGCGTTGTAAACATAGTAGTATTCCTAAGAGTCTCTGGGTCTGGTAATCCCCTATGGGCTGGTCTTGTTTGCTCAAAACGACTATCAGTGAAATAATCTAGTGACTAGCTAAAACTTCAATTGCCTATCGCCGGTGTGGTCTGCATGCCGCGTCAGGCATTTACTTCAAATATCAAGTTTGTACATTACATCACTGACTCTTCTTAAGACGACACCCACTACCCAGGCTGTTCTCCACTGTCGGGTCTTCTTTAACAAATTGGGTTTTTAATCTGGCTTCACGAATATATACCTTCCAAGGAATTGCAGATTTTCCGAACATTGATTGAACTGTGGAGGCACCGCTGGGTGAGGCATAACTCAGGATTATTCTGGATGAGTTCATCCTTTGTGTCTTTCCATTTCAACTTGATGAGAGCTCGCTTGTGAGTGCTGACAGAAAATTTCGTAACCAAAAAATGGAATTTATACAAGTACTTGTAAAGTTTATCTACGTTAAAGTGGCTATAGTATATACCCCAAAGTATAAGTTCGTCAGCTTCCTGAAAAGTGAGTGATTATATAGACTCAATCTAACTCCGGATTTTTTTTAGTATCAAGCCGAACAGATGCTTTAATGCGACATGGCATCACTGCAACAAAACAGTCAGTTGACGTTATATTTCCACAAATGTCTGTCGTTATAATTTCATGCTACAAAGGGTATAATGGGAACTAAGTCTCATCCTGTTACCACCTCACTAGAACGTCGACGAGGCGGAAATAAGATCATCAAAGACGAAAAGCCTAAACACCAGTGGGAGCCTCGAAGTAGAGCAGTTAAATCCTACACCACCTTGGGATATCAGTACCTGATGTATATCTGCTATCGCTAAACCTGCTCTCATTTTACAACTAGCTAGCCATCTTTTATCTATTGTTCTTGAGCTAATGTTTATTTAAATCGTTCTTGATCAATCTATGTATTTATCATGACAATCATTCCCCCTTCTCACCTCTGTGTCCAAATTGTATTACTTTCGTACATAAACCAGCCGATATTCTCCATTTGAATTGGTTGTTTCAGTATTCAAATTAGTGTTAATGACTGAAATTTAATCAATCGATTTTGAAGTGCGTTCACCCTGTGCGGGCTTGATATTGTCATGAAGTTAGGAGCATCAGTGATACAATGGACGATGACTCTCAGAGGCGTGCATTTCGCCATATTTAAAACAGTCGAATATTTTAATATCCTATGTGGATGTTATTTCCGAAACTCCAGCCCAGTGCCGTTCGATTCAAACGCTATCGGATTATCAACCTAGCTACTGAGTGCATAAAATGCGATAGCCTTTCAATGAAGCGGTACATGTTTTGAGTCACTGTTTGGATATCAACCCTAGGATGCTGCAAATCTCAGATGGTAGGTCCTAAATAGAGCGGGATGCGCGTTTTGAACCACTCTACCAGCCACCATCTATCTCTGTTTGATGGTGTGGTTGCCTTCATTCCATGAACCCGCCTCTTAGAAAAAATATTAGTCACAAAATATCCGACAAATTGGCTGATGTTAGTGAAACTGAGTTACTTAAACACATACAGTTAACCATTTCGAAGACCCGAAATTTTGATGTGAAATGAAGATATGAACAGAGAAAAATCGATGGATATTTTTAGCACGCTACAAAGATATTTCATGTTATCTTGATTAAGACGAAACCATATTCTGATTTCATCCTAATTATGAATCGAAGTGTATGTAAAATCAATGCATACATGAGTGTATTTTCGACTAGGGTGGTTGTCATCATGTTTTGGGTATTAATTAATCTTCATTTACACCAGTCTTGTGTTCTAGCTTCCGCGTCGCGGGATTTGCAGAGTTCCTTCGTTTTAAGTATAGGTGATAAGCCTTTCCGACACAACAATAATTGACGATCAGATATATAAATTAGCTTTAAACGCCAAGACATATCAATAACAACTAAATCTTGTCTTTTGCTCGCATATGTACGCGATCTATCAAGAAAGGATAGAATAATATTAACTTGTTACCTTCGATATGATTACTGATTGAACAATTAGTGGTTGAATAACTGTGTGGTGATATTTTTTGGAATAATAATGTACATTTAATCCGTCACTTCGTTTTTTTCTCAACTAGACAATAGCGGGTATTTGAAATACCTAAACAGTTACTTTCAATCCACACCTTAGTTTTTCTCCTACAATCACACCTAGAGTATAGTAATGTAAGGATCATGTAGAGAAGTCGGTGGATAACAGGATGTACAGCTTCACTGGTGAAGATAAATTAGCTCAATACTATGATTATGGTCTTAGCAGGAGCAGAATTATTTACTCCAAATTGTCACTTACACATAAAAGAGGAAGTAAGAAGTTCTTATTTCTTACTCCATCCAGAATCCTATACAAAGCTCCGAGAAATTTCTGTAACGTAGTTCATATGAGAATATACATGTAAATACCACATCCTGTATCTTTACGGAGACCAAATGTAAATCATCCGATTTCATCGGTCTCTCTTTCTGATGCTTATGTACTGTCTCTAATCTTCGGTATCGTCATATACGGACAAACGTTCAACTTGGAGGCAGTAACATTGGTGGGATTGACAGTTTCTTGGGGTTAATTATATTTATCTAAAATACATCTATCTCGAGACAATCGAGTTTCCGGATACACAGTAATTACGACTAGTTCGGTCAATGAGATATAGTAAAATCATAACAGTATGATTAATCAGCCAAGCGAAGTCGTAATTGATCAGAAAAAACAAAGTCAAAATGCGCATATACTTTTCAAAGTGACACAAGTGGACTGTATGCAAAACAATTAATGCTACTATGTAATAAACATTCACAAAAATGGTTTAGTGTAGAGTTATAATGATTTTTAGTTATTTACTTCACATTATGCACACTGATCCAAAGCCATAGCTCCTTTACGAAGAAGTACTGGTTAACAAACGAGTTTTTTTCAATATTAAACACCTAAGACCGTTATTAGTATTGATGATAGATAAGCGTTTACTCGTTGGTCGTAGCACGAAACATATAAAAAGTAGAATGCGAATGGCTACAAAGGTGGAAAATATGTTCTAGGCTAACAGAATGATCTATTAACCATATCAATATCTGAAATCATCCGCAGAACGAAAGTGATATCA